ATATACAGATCATGATAAAATTATTAAAGAAATTTTTTTTCTAAATTCTCCAACGGATTCTTTTAATAGTTTCTTGGATTATTTTCAAAAAATCGTTTCAGATCATACAATTAATAAATCAATGAAAGAACGATTTAAAAAGCCTTTCATGAATTTGAAAATTTTAAATGCCATGATGGTTCGAGATAATTTTCTAAAATTATTAAAAAAATTTCCTTATGTTCAAAAAGTGCGTGAAAATTATAAAAAAAATAGAAATTTAGTTAACATAATGATTAGGAAACAGAAACGAGCAGCAAATGATAAATATTTTGAAAATAACATCAATGATCCAAGAAAGACTTGGAAACATATAAACAATCTTGTGAGAAACACTGACGCCACTCCTAAAGTCAATTGTGTAAGACTTAAAGTAAAAGATAAAGTTTTAACTAATCGATTTCAAATTGCTGATGAATTTAACAAATTCTTTGCAACTGTTGCAAAAGAAATTAAAAAGGAAATTACTACTGGTGCTGTAAATAGAAGTCAAATGCAGTATATTGATAATTATAACATTCGTTTTCCTTTTAGTTTCTTACCTTGCGATGAGACGGAAATTTTTAATATTATTTCGAATTTAAAGTTTTCTACAGCTTGTGATGTTTACGGTATGTCAAACAATATTATTAAATTGCACAAAAATGAAATCGCGTCACCATTATCAAAATTAATTAATGATAATATCACTAATGGAATCTTTCCTATCTCATTAAAAAAAGCTGTTGTTAAACCTTTATTCAAAGAAAAGGATAAAGAACTTCCCTCGAATTATAGACCAATTGCAATTCTTCCTATCATATCAAAAATCTTTGAATCTATTATTTTGAGTCGTCTTCTGACTCACTTAAATAATAACAATATTCTAAGTGAATATCAATTTGGTTTTGTGGCAAATTCTAATACCGAAACAGTAGCTCTTCATCTTTTAAGCAATCTATATAGGGTGGTTGGCTAATTATCGACCACCTCGAAATCGCGTCCAATTATCGACCACTACTTTCGAACTTAATTTTCTTAGCTATTATTTATTATTTATGTCTTAGAACTTTTGAAAAAAATACGTCCATTGCATTCCATGAAATCTTAAAATATGGTTTAAAATCGTGTATTATTTTCAGCAAAAAATCAATTTGATCAATATTTTCAAGTTTTATTTAATTTCCACAAATTTCAAGCTTTTAAACATACAATTAAAAGCATTAATTAATACTTTATGGATATTTTATCTTTTATTAGGGGCTTCAGGTTATATTTGGAACTATGCTTGTATGGAGTGAACTCATTACAACACATGCAATAAGGTAAGAATGATTTTTAATTTTATTGTTGAAAAATAGTTTTATTAGTTTAAGTCAAGTACATTCAAACAATTGTTTAGTCTGAAAACTTAAACTAGTAAAATCTTAATCGAACTAGAATGTTTAAAATTCTTTCAAAATTAGGTATTCTCGTTTAAATGCATTAATTTGTAATATTCATAGTAGTAAAAACTTTAAATTTCATTTTAGGGTACATACACCTCCAAGACATATACCAGGTACGTTTTTATTTCTAAAGTAAAAAAATATGACTTTATATTATATGTGAAACTGCTGTTATAAAATAT